CCTCGTCCCCCGCGTAACTCCTTCCGCCCCAGCCACTGGCTCCGGCTCTCGGGCAGTTTGAAAATGGCGCGGAGAGATGATCCGGGCCGCCCGGGAGGAGGCGCCGCCGTTGCCGCGGTAACGGGAGAGGCGGGGCGACTCGTGGCAGGGACGCGCCGAGGGCGATGGCGGCGCTGGGCCTCGGTGCCCGGAAACGCAACGGCCGGACGGCGCGGCGCTCCCGCGCCCCCTGGTGGACGGGACTCGCAGCCGGCACAGCTGGACCCTCCCTCTGCTGGCAGTGAGCTCCTCTATCAGGCCAGAGTGAGGCAGGCGCTGGTCATCCGGTGCAGCTTGGAAACGCCAGCATTCCCCTTACCCCCGCGTTGGTCCCTGCAGCAGATGAGCCTTCACCCGCAAAGCGGACTCCTGCACACCGAGTAACGTCCACTTTATCATCATGTTTGCAGTTTTTTTCTGACACTCATCCACCCCAAGGAAATAATGCCCCACCACTTGTGTGTGTGTGTGTGTGTGGGGGGGGGGGGGCACACACTAACTCATTCCAACCAAGCAATTGTTTCTGTCGCTTTCTTTTCTGCCCCTCCCCACCCTCTGAGAAAAACAAAGCCCTAAATTCCTTCATTCATTTTACACAACTATGTTTGTGTAAAACAAATGTTTGTGAGTGAAATTCAGTTCAGACAAGCTGGTAGTAGCTAGCGATCCTGCTTACATATGGAAAGCACACAACAAGTTCTAGAATTCCATATCCCTCCTGAAAACGGTTGCAAAGGAACTCAGTTCCCGCCTGTTTATGGCTCAACCAGGAAAGCCTCCCCTTCTGAAAATGTACATACTCTTCATGTGTCGTATGACTCTTAAGTGGGCTGTGAATAACTTATATGGCTTCAGCGTTTCTGTTTTGTATGTCTGATTTTTACATGCATTTGGGGTTGTTTCATGGAATGTCCAAGGGCAGGAAGTTGGATTCTCTAAATGACTTTTGTGTGGCGCTTTGCACGTTTACAAGTAAACACATGCTTTGAGGGGGAGGGGAAACTATCTTTTTGAAAAAAGATAGCTGCTAACAAACTGTCATAATAGTAAAACGGCTCTGCAATCGCCATCCAGTCCATTTGACTCCAATCCAGGAACCTGGGTGTCTCAGTGGGCTACATGGGGCTGCTAAACCCAAGGTCAACACTCCCCACCAGTCTCTCCTGGAGAGAAAGATGAAGCTGTCCTCTCCCATAGAGGAGTCCTAGTGGCCTAGTGGTTACCCGCTGGGCTGCCAATTGCAAGGTCAGAAGTTCAAAACCATCAACTGCTCCATAGGAGAAAGACGGGGCTTTCTACTCATGTAAAAAGTTCTAGTCTCAGAAACTCCAGTGGACAGTTCTACCTTGTCCTAGAGGGTTGCTGTGTGTTGTTCTAACTCCATGACAGTGAGCCAGCTCCCAGGAAGCAGTTCTACTCTGCCCTATGGTGTTGGTATGAATCGGAATCCGGTCAATGGCAGTGGATTTGGGTTTGTTTCCGTTGCTCCAATCACAAAGCAATTTGTTGTTAGGTGCCATTGAATTGGTTCTTCCTCTCGGCTACATTGCAGTTGATCAAGCCTCACCAGGCATCCAACGCACTCCTCACCCTCAATTTTAGATTGTTTATTGTTCCCTTGTGCCTGGGTTTCCCCTTCTTTCCCTACCTCCCCTTCTCCCATGTCCTCCCTAGCCAGCCCTGGAAGATCAGCTTTCAGGGAAACA